TAGAATCTATTAAGACAATCTACTATAATTAAGAAAAATTAAAAACTAAAAAACAAAAACAAAAACAGCCATATGTATGGGTTTACAAAGGACGCCAGGACCATTAAAGGTAAGCCACTCGATCTAAAAACAAGAAACCTCAACCAGCTAATTAATCAATTAAATCAAATTAATGAGCAATTGCAGGTTTGATCAATTCCATACAGTGGACAATTTTTAGGCCCAATTTAAACGAAGACAAAATTGGAGCTACGTGGAAGTCAAGAGATTATCAAGGTAAGAGTGTAAATCCCCCATATAGGCCTTATACCCAAGGTAATCCCTCTTAAGTTATTTTTAGACATGGTTCCCAGTTCATCCGAGGATGTTACTCGCGGGATGCGTGGACAACCGAAGCGACTCTCTCGAAACTACCTAAGACGAAATGGCGTTAACGTCATTTTATATGTTTTGGTTTCGTTTCATACCAGAGATGGTTTCTGCACTCTCAACCGCCTTTTTGTTCGGCCAGGCTTTCGTTTGTTTTGTGTTTGGCTGTTCATTATTTTGCCGTTCATTGGGCTTTAGGAAGTTTAATTACGCAAACGAGCACAATGGCTGTGTAATCCTGCGTTATATTTTTTTGTTCATTTCTTTTGCCGTTTTTTACAAAAGGTCACAAAACAACAACGTGAAATAGCCACATTCTGCAAATTCGAGAGAAGGTGAACAATAGGCCGACCAAGTTTTAAAATTTATTTTTCGAATTTTGAAGCTGCCTTACATATTTTGTTTGGGATATTTCTGACAGTATAGACAAACTGAATGAATCTAAATTCTCGCGAGGTTCTTAGGTTGAATATTAAGTCATTTTAATCGACGTTGTCTTTGATCTTTTGAAAGTGCATTCCACCTGTCAACAATTTTATTAAAATNCAGGTTTGATCAATTCCATACAGTGGACAATTTTTAGGCCCAATTTAAACGAAGACAAAATTGGAGCTACGTGGAAGTCAAGAGATTATCAAGGTAAGAGTGTAAATCCCCCATATAGGCCTTATACCCAAGGTAATCCCTCTTAAGTTATTTTTAGACATGGTTCCCAGTTCATCCGAGGATGTTACTCGGGGGATGCGTGGACAACCGAAGCGACTCTCTCGAAACTACCTAAGACGAAATGGCGGGAGCGTCATTTTATATGTTTTGGTTTCGTTTCATACCAGAGATGGTTTCTGCATTCTCAGTCGCCTTTTTGTTCGGCCAAGCTTTCGTTTGTTCTGTGTTTGGCTGTTCATTATTTTGTCGTTTATTGGGTTTTAGGAAGTTTAATTACGCAAACTTTAACGGCAACGGCAACGAGCACAATGGCTGTGTAAATGTGCGTTATATTTTTTTGTTCATTTCTTTGCCGTTTTTTACAAAAGGTCACAAAACAACAACGTGAAATAGCCACATTCTGCAAATTTGAGAGAAGGTGAACAATAGGACGACCAATTTTTACAATTTATTTTTCGAATTTTGAAGCTGCCTTACATATTTTGTTTGGGATATTTCTGACAGTATAGACAAACTGAATGAATCTAAATTCTCGCGAGGTTCGTAGGTTGAATATTAAGTCATTTTAATCGACGTTGTCTAATCATTTTTAATCGACGTTGTCTTTGATCTTTTGAAAGTGGATTCCACCTGTCAACAATTTTATTAAAAT